GGCCACGTGACGCGGCCAGCTTGGGCGAGAGCTGGGCGCACCTGAGGCCGCCGGTCTTTCCAGTGCGCGGCCACGTCTGTGGGCGGGCACGCCGGGCTTCCGCGCGTGCATCAGGCGCGGGGCCTCCGGATCTCCCAGGTTCAGCCATGTGGGGCGTTCCAGAAATGGCTGCGCTTTCAAGGGCCGAAGCAGTTGCCATCTCTTCCTCGGCGGAAGGCGGCGGAAGCAGAACCAGGGCGCCTGCGCCAGCGGAAACCGACAGAAGGCCAGCGGAAGCCGGCAGAAAGAAAAAGTGCCTCCCAAAAGATGGCAAGGTTTCTTGGTTCTGAGTTTTTCGAACCCGCCAGGCATGATTCCAGCCTCCTGGCAGTTCCTCTCGGGGCGGCGGCTGGTCGAAGGGGGCTCAGAGGGTGCGCGGTGAGCTTGCCTCGCGAAGTCGGCCCCCGGGCCACGGCCCATGAGCCACCAGAGGCCAGATGCAGCGTCGACGAGCTCAAGCCTGGGAGGTTGATAGAACAACTGGCCCTCTTCACCTCTCGAGAGGGCGTTGCGCTCACGACTTTTGTGAGCCTGCGCCCGCTGAGTCGTGTCCCCGGTCGTTTTCACTCCAGGGCTTTTTAACAGGGAACGACGGCCGTCAACGGCCTCGGCCCAGCGCAGGCATTGTGCCCTTCGCCCAATAGATGATGGCTTGCCTCTCCGGTGGGACCTGCGCCGCCCTCTCCCTCGGTCTCATTGGCCGTGCACTCTCCAGTACACTTGCTTCCAATGCCGTCTGCGCCCTCCTCGTGGCGAAGAGTCTCTATGCCTGAGCTCGCGTTCCCCCTCCGCGGCCACCCTCTCTTGCACGTGTCTAGGGTGCCTCTGCCCGGCGCGGCCCGCCGGCTGACCGAACGCGTTGGTGTCCGCCCTCGCCGCTGACAAAGGGGTCCATCGCCGAGAGCCGCTCCTGCCGAAGCTGGCCTCGCCCCAGTTCCGGCTGTTCCGACTTCTGGCGCTACCCCTCTGGCTCAGGCCCGCCCATTTGGTCCCAGCCGCGCCGCCGCCCGACGTTCTCGGCTGGCTGGGCGGCCAGGGTGCGGCCCGGAGGGGATGGTCAGAGGAGCAAGGAGTCGTGAGAGTGATACGTTCCAGATACGTTCCAGGAGTTGCAAGGCTTCCAGGGCTTCCCAGGTTCCCCATTTTGTCGCGCGAGCTCTAGACACGGGGGCCGCCAGATGCTCCGGAATTCTTGGAACGCATCATGACACCACTCTCGTCCCAGATGGGGGCGCAGTCTTTCGGCACGGGAAACAATGCACAAACATGAGTTTTCGGAGGTCAGCGCGGACCCCAGCGTACGCGTTCCGGGGTGAATGCCGCAAGTGGCCCGGAGCCGGCCGATATCGAACGGTTTGCGTTGGCCAACCGCTCCCTCTCTCTCTCCCTTTTCCCTTGCCCCCCCCTCCTGGACAGCCGAGTCCAGGCTGCCGTCTGCCGCCACGGAGGAGGAACAGCCGTTCGGGTTCCCTCGTTCGCGGTTCCTCTGTTGTGCCCCGTCCCCGCTCGTCGCGCGCCCCTCCTTCCCTCCTGCGTGCGCCGTGCGCCCTCTCGTATCCCCTGCATCGCCGCAGAGATATGCGTGCAGCGTGCAGAGCGAATGCCGTCAACTACGGCATTCTCGCCCACAGAGTATGCACGTGCCCATGGGCTGCCGCAGCCTACGGCTTGACCTGACATGACCTGACCTGCGTTATCGGAAACCGCGATCTTTCATGGTTGAGCGATCCACGCGGTGTCAGAAAGACATGCATTGCTACGCTGTGCTACGCCACGCCATCGACTAACTATACAACGCAGTTGTATGCTCAGGACATCAGTTACATGCATCGGTGCCGTGTATCAGGCCATCGTAATGTTAAGGGTAGGAGCACCCTTTGGTTGATGAGGAGGTTTGGGGGGCGGGTGCAGCTTTCGCTTTGCGATTAGCGTCGGATTGGATGCGAGAATGGTCTACCTTACGATACGGACATCGGTCGATGTCGCTACCTACTCATCGATCGATCGTTTTAGGTTCTATCCTCGGTTTTAGGCTGGCGCCCGTCAGTCTCTTCGAACCTCGGTGGCGCGCAACGGTTCGCCTACTGCTGGTTGGCCTGAGCGTTGCTCCTTGTGTACTGATGTCGTCCTCCTCCTCTTCTTCTTTCCTCCTCCCCAGGAGCCGCCGCCGATCGCGGCTAAACACGAGATTAACATGGTTTGGCCTTTCCGCTCCAAGCGCACAAGCGCTCAGGCTTGAAGCAAAAATCGTCTAGATAGGAACTGGCCTTCGTGGCTAAACGTGGTTTTAACATGGTGTGGTGACGTTAACCCGACTGGAAACTCGTGGAGAAAAACGATCGTGTTGTCTGTCGGTATAATTACCTTATTTCGATATGTTCATCTCTATGTACCACTCTCGATCCATCGATCTCGTTATCAGTGCACGTATTGATTGCAATCTCGATCGATCGAACTACCTATAGGACATTAACCGATCAACCATGAGGCAGCATGGGAATATGAATTGGAGCAACCATCTAAACAAAATGGCGAAACAGCACCGGTACGACCAAAATACAGCCACTGAACAACCTCGGGGAACCATCGGAGCAACCAGCGAAACATCCATCTAAACAACCAGCAGAACTTCAGCGGAATCACCACAAGGCAACGATGGAACAAACACGGGACAGCCGTGAGAATCGCATTTGGAGCAACTAAATAAGCCACTAGCGAAGAGCGAAGCAACAATGGAACAACCACGGACGATCCGCAGGACAAACGCTTGGAAACCAGGGGACAATCGCGGCACAACCACAGATCAGCCACCGGACAACCGTTGGACAACCACGGGGCAGCCACTGGGTATCGCGATATACCCTCGGGGTCATCGCGAGACAATCATGAGGCAACCACAGGACAACCGCAGGACAACCATGGGACAACCACCTGGACAACCGCTGGACAACCGCTGGAGAACCGCGGAACAATCAGGGACCAACAGCGGACCAACCACGGGACAACCACGACACAACTGCAAAACAACCGCAGGACAACCACAGAACAGCCACGGGACATACACGGGACAATTACAGAACAACCACAGTACAAGAACGGGACAGCAGCGGGGCAACCGCAAAGCAAACGCAGATCCACGGGACAGCCAGCAGGGGACAACCGCGGTGGCCATTGCCCACCCAGCGGGAGTAACAATTTGGTGGCGGCTTGCGCTATCAAGGCAGGGATCTGTCTCGCCGTCGCGCAGTTTCACTTGGCCCTCACGCACGTCATGCGCCCCAAACCGAAACCGAGGGGGATTCCGTTTCATGCCGATCTCATGCCCCCAACATGTCCGACGCATGTGTTTTTTGATTAAATGTCAGCGCGACACGTGCAATTTCATTACACGCAATGCGATATTATGCCATGCTGCACTATTGTGCACAAGATTGCGGAATTGTGTGATGTGATACGCCATGTTATGTTATGCCATGCCATGTCGTGCGACGTACGCAACGGCACGATTTGGCGATATGATGTTGTATGCTATGTCAAGCTGCTCAGTTGCTTGCGGCAAGTTCCGCCACCGCGCAAGCGCAGCACTCTGTGTGACGACGACCAGAAGGCTGCAGCATGTGACACCTCTATTCCTTGAGGCGCTCTCATGAAGCCTACCTGGGCCGTCTTAGGGGCTGTCTCGGACTCCTGCGGGACCGTTTTCAGACCGTCTTGGGCCTGCTTGAGGCTCTCTTGGGCCGCTGTGTTGCCACCATGGACCCCTCTCGGCCGTCTGGGGCCTCTTAGGCTGATTCGGGGGCCCACCTGGGCCATCTTGGCGCTCTTTTAGGCTGTCCTGCGCCTCTCTTGGGCCGTCTTGGGGCCTCCTTGGGGCCGTCCTCAGCCAGCGGGGAGGGGAGGGGAGGGCCCTCGTTTGGCCCGTTTGGCTTCCTGCTGGCTCCTCGAAGGCCCTCGAGGAACCATCTTGAGCCGAGAGGGCCAGGGAACGGAACACATCGTCAACGTTGATCATGTCTGCATGTTTTCAATGGCGCGGGGCTTCCTCGCAGGCACCTTGGCCTTCTGCGTGGCGTCTTGGAAGAACATTGGGGGTCTTCTTGGCGACTGTTGGGTCACTCTTGAGTGGATGTCGGCCCATCTCCGTTGTCTTGGTGGCCGTCCTGGGCCATCTTGGAAACCGTGACGAGCTTTGCAGAGCCCACGAGCGGCGTCGGGCATCCCAGGGAGCCTCGGGAACGGGGGATGCACGCGATTGTTTCTGACATATAGGGGCGGGAGCTTGACTGAACGGCTTCCAGCAACCTTGCCAGACAGCCTTTGACATTAGATCACGCTTCCTTGTACCAGGCGACACGGTAGCGGATTTGATTATATGCGATGCGTGTCTACGCAGTCTTGCCACGTCATGATGTGATAGACATTGTTTTACAAGACATTGCGATGCCACGCTGTGGTTTTCATGATTGTGGTTTTTAATGACCATGCCCCACACGGGCTTTCATTGCATATGCATGTCCGCCAGACTACATACTCATGATTGTGAACGCGCCAGACTCGATTGATTACGGTATTCGGGAGGCCCTCTCATGGCCATGGTTGGACGCAGATTTCAACATTGACATACGTGGGGGGTGCCCAGGAAGTCTTCAGGGACGGATTCTGGCCATCGGGCCGAAATTTCTTTGGGGGGCGGGCGGGCGGGAACAAGTGGGAGTGCGCTTGGGCGGCTCCGTTCCTACAGATTGGACTTCGGATTTTCGCGTGTGTGTGGGCCGTCCCCGCTGTGGCGCAAACGTGTGCGTTTAGTCAGCAGAGTGAGAACGTAGGACCAAAGGTCAGGCCAGTGGCGAAGGACGGCGGGTGCTCGAGCAGGTGGCAGTGGCTAGCTTGCAGGCTGGCTTCAGCCCTCCGTGGCATACCCCTGGGACGTTCAGCCAGCCGATCATCAAGCTCTTTCAAAGATGGCGGCATCCCTAGTTCCTGCCCTCCTGGCTGCCGCAGGCGTTCATGGGTGTCTCAACGGGGAGTTGGTAAGGCAGGGGACAGCGTGTTACTTTTCATGGAGGGGATGCGGCTTGAGGGAAACATCGGTCGCGGCTGGGACGAGGATAACTCCGTTCCAAAGCGTTCCAGAACGTTCCCAGAGCGTTCCAGAAGGCTTTGAGAAGGCCGTGGCGCCCGAGACATCTTCCAGAGCAGCTGAATTTCAGACATTCTTGATTCATCCTCACTCGATTTTATCCTCGTCCTGTTTTCGCTTTCAAGCACGAGATGTTTCATCTTCGGTAATGTTTCAACGGTCCCTTGTCCCATGGAGGGCCCCTGGGGCCCGAAAACAGCAGACAAAAAAAGGGATCCTCACCTCCAGGACCCGTTTCCTTGATGCTCATATTCAAGGGTTGTTCACAGTCCGATTCGATACGATCCGATGTCCAAAGTTTGATTCCGATCTCGATCCGATGCGACACGAACCCCTTCCCTCTCCGCCCTGCAGGGACTGCAGGGGCCAAGCCAGATCCGCGATCCGAAACGGTGAGATAGTGATCCGACTCCGCTTCGATATAAGCGCGACGCGATCCGTCTCTGATCCGATACGATTTCGCGATTCGATCCAACTCCAGCGGCGCTTGCGCCCAGGGCCCGGCGAAGCTCCAGGGCTCGGAGGCACCCTTGAGAAAGACGACGATTGTTTCGACTTCGAGACCTCAGATCCTTTGCAGTTGCTCCTGCTCCCTTCCTCCTCGCTCCTCTGTCTTCTCCCCCTCTCGCTTCTCTGTCTCCTCCTTGTCCTCCTCTGTCTCGTTGAGACACACACAGAAGCAAACGGATTAGTGTCCTACCCCGCAGACGTTAAATAACAGAAACTCACATCCTCCTTTGTCCCCTCCTCCTCCTCCTCCTCCTCCTCCTCCTCCTCCTCCTCCTCCTCCTCATCATCATCATCATCATCATCATCCTTCTCCCTCGTCCTCCTCCTCCCGTCTTCCTCCTCCTCCTCCTCCTCCCTCCTCCTCCTCCTTCTCCTCCTCCTCCTCCTCCTCCTCTCCTCCTCTTCCTCCTCCGCCTCCCCCTCCTACTCCCCCTGCTCCCCCTCCTCCAGCCTCCTCCTCCTCCTCCTCCCCTCCTCTCCTCCTCCTCCTCCCTCCTCCTCCTCCTCCTCCTCCTCCTCCTCCTCCTCCTCCTCCTCCTCCTTTCCAGACATGCGACGTCTTGATTCGTTTCAACAATACGCGATCCCCGGAAGTCGCAACCCTTTCCCCAGGGCTGATTATTCGTCCCGAGTTGTTTTTTGAGGTCCCGGAGCCTGGCGAGGGTCCCTGGAGGCCAAAAGCAGCCAAAAGCCTTCCGTCGAAATGTTCTCTCGTGCGCGGCAGTCTCGCCACGGCGAGGCATCGCCCGCGGCGCCTCGGCGGCCGCGGGGGGGCCGCTGTTCCCTGGCGTGTGCAGCGGGGGCGACCCCTCGGTCTCGCTGGCCTTCTGCGACCCGAAGCTCAGCATGGACCCCACGGGGAGGGGAAGCCTTGGCCTCAGGGGGGGCGAAGCCAGGCCCCCCTCGCGTCGTGGGCTCTCCGTGGAAGCCAGGGGCAACGTCAGGGTGGGATCGGCTCGGGGGGGGCGGGGACGCATCGACCCCCAATCGCCCATGGATCACCCGTAGGCGCCCGATTGCCGTTTCCCGTTCAGGGACACGCGGGTTCGTGAGGCGGTGGCATGTCGGGTCCCCCCCTATCGTTGCCCCTTAGGACGGCTCTTCACGGTCTTCGGCCTCTGGGGGGGCCTTCCCGGGGCCCCGGGGCCTGAGATCGTCAAAAAGTGATTCGAGATGAAAAGCCGGGGGCCCACGCTGTGGGAAGATCACGACGTCGGAGGTTGTGGAAATGGGGCGGCTGGCCCATAACTGGCGTCATCGAGGTGAGTTCTCAAAGATTTGCTCGCGGCATTGGGTTTTTTTGTATGCCCCCCGAGGCCTCCAGGGACTCCGGACGACCCCCACTGACCTTCGAAGACCTCCGTGGGGGGGGTGGGGGAGGGGAACCGCAGGTTTGAGGGGATTGGCCAGGGGGGAAACATCGACACGCCATCGCCCGTACGTCACCGATCGGGGTTCGGGTGCCCCGCTTTGCTTGGGACCGCGCGGATTCGATACCAAGGGGCCCATCGCCAGTCTTTCGGCGATGCATGGCCGATTCGAGGCCGATGTTTGCCCCCCTGAGCCGGTACCCCAGTCTCGCCCCTCATCAGGCTTGATGGACCGAAGTCGATGGAGGAAGAACCACCTCGACCCCAATACTCGGCTTTTACTAGGCAGTCTTCGGCGTTTGCTAAACAGCCTTACCCTGCTCGATCCATTCCAAAGGCGCCTTTAGTAAAAGGCTTCGCTTGTCGGAGTGCTTACTGTGAGGATGGTTACCCAGCCCAATATTAAGAAGCGTTTTGCGAGCCCGCGCCCTCATGCGAAGCAAAGGGTCCGTTTCTGGCCCACCCCATGTAAACGCCGCTGCTTCCCGCGCCTCGGCCCCCCTTCGGCAGCTCGGACTGGCCGCACGCCTTCAGCACGCCGCCTGCGCATTCCTCGTGGCGAAGGTCCTCTACGCCTAAGGCCTCCTCGCGGTCGTAATCCCCGTCCCCTTCCTCGTTTCCTTAGGTGCCGTGTGCGCCCAAGTTCCAGCGCGGCCCGCCAGCTTTTTCCGAACGTGTTGACATCCGCCCTCGCTGCTGGCCAAGCAGTTTGATGTGGTGGCATCCCGCCCCCACGGGGATCTCATCCGACACGGGGGGCTCTGCCCGACGGGGTCGATGCACGTGTAGATGCTTGCGTTCGTGGAGCGAGCGTGCAGTACCTATCCTCGTCCGATTCCGTTGCTTCTCTTGCTGACAGGCGGGACGCCTGTCGGGAGACGAGCACCGCGGTTTTGGAGGGCGGGGACCAGCGGCCAACTGCTCGACGGAGGAGTTCCAGCCCAGTGGCCCGAGCGACCAAATCGCAAAGGCCAGGAATAGAGCCAAAATGGCTGACTGGCCCCACGCAAGCTCCCTGAGCAAACTGGCCGGAATGAGCGTCGGCTGAGGGGGGGGGGGCGGGGGGCTTTTGCTTCGCCTTGGGCCTGGTGGAGCAAGGATGGAGGAGTTCTGCCAGCCCGCGGCTTGACACAGCAGCCGCTCACTCGGCCAGCCCGCGGCTTCAAGAAGAGCCCTGGACAAGTCCACCAAGGGACTCTTCGGTGCCACTTCGCGGGCCACCTACGGCCGTCCAGACCTCCTTCACGCCCACCCACCATTCTGAGCCTCCGACTCCGTTGGCGCGCCTCCAGGATCGGGCGTCGAAGGCGCGCCTCCGCGGAGGCACGCCTTCTTCGTAGGGAGAACATCGGCGCACCGACACCCCTCCACGCAGCGAGCGCTGAGCGCCTGCTAGCCCGCTCACTCTGCCCGCGTCATCCTGTCCGCAGTGCCTTGGTTTTGATCGGGGATAGCTGCGATTTAGCAATGTTTGACGTCGCTTATCCCCACCAGCTCATCCAGGAACAGATCGCCAGGCGAGTTGCCTTGATCAGGGAAGTGTAGAAGCATGCAGTGGCAACCGCCTTGGACATGTTTTCTCGGAGGTCTCTTGGTGCCATCTTGGGTCTCTCTTAGGGTTCTCGTGGAGCCACTTGGGGCACACTTAGGGCCCTCTAGGGTTTTTTGGGGGGGGGTCTGCACTCTGGGAGCTATTTGGGGGTCTGGGAGGCCTCTTAAGGCAATGTTGGGCTCACTGTTCAAAATGAGGGGGAGAGTAAATTCAGGCCCCTCCCCCCCCCCCCTCGGAGGCTCAAACATTGTATCTTGAGGCCGTCTTGGGGCGCTCTTAGTCGCGTGTGGGGCCGTCTTGGAGCCCTCCTGGGTCCTGCTTGGGGCCCTCTTGGGTCGTCTTGGTCCATCTTGAGGCCTCCGAGGCCCATCGGAAGCGAAAAGTCGAGACTGCAAACATCACAAATTGTCTCTATGTTTTCTGTGCCATGTTGGCCTTGGGGAGGGTCCTTGGAGGGCTCGGATGGCACTTGAAACCGTCTTGGGCCGCCTTGAGGCCTCTTGGATGTGCGTCGGATGCTATATGCTGCTATATGGAGCAATTGTGAGTTATCTTGAGCCATCGTGGAGGCCATCCTGGGGTCTCTGAGGCCCTCTCGGAGCCATCTTGGCCGATCATGGGGGCTCTAACGCCTCGCGCCCTCCCATCCTCCCCAGGCCCAGGGGAGAGGGCAGCGGGAGGGAGAAACCCATCCCACGAGCTGGGGAGGGAGGGATTTCTGGCAGAGAGAAAGCACAACTCGTTAAACTACCTACGCGCAGAGGGCCGGTGGGATTGCGTTGGCTAGTGGGCCAGGGGCGGCATTGAGTCTTCGGCTGCACGCAGGTCCTATGAGGTCCTCGAAGCTTAAACTTGGTTAAACGAAGTTTAAGCTTCGAGGCGGACATTGCTCCTTCAGATGTTCGTCGTCGTCCTCCTCCTCCTCCTCCTCCTCCTCCTCCTCCTCCTCCTCCTCCTCCTCCTCATACGCCCTCCTCCTCCTCCTCCTCCTCGTCCTCCTCCTCCTCCTCCTCATACGCCCTCCTTCTGCCCGCTCGCCGAGAGTGCAAAGGGGCCGCGCACCAAGAGACCGTATGGTTTTTGTCAGGGCGCCCTGGGTTTCTTCACTTCCAGCGATGCGTGGTGGCTTTCCCCGATCGTGAAGAAATTGCTGCGCCCAGGGTACCCTGGGTTTCTCTTCCAATCGCACCTCGCGCATTTCCTTTCCCGCCCTGGGGAGAGACTTCTCGGGCCAGGGTTCCTTGGGTTGCTCCGACTGGAGCTCTTTGCTCAGAAGCCCAGACCTTGGGCAAGAATTGCTTTAGATGTTCAGGGTTGGGTTTCTTCCGAGGGGTTCTTGCGGCCGCATCCCCACTGCAGAGCGTGCTTGCATTTGGATTCCAGCAAGTGTGCTTGCATGGTTCCCCCCCCAATGCGGCTATTTCAATCAGCGCTAGGCCGAAAAGGCGTGCAAGTGCGTCCTGACTTCCGCGAAGCCCAGATTTCCCTTCGAGCCTCGCCACGCCTCCCCCCGTCCATGCAAGTAAAATTGCCAGAATATGCACAAAAAAGCTGTCAATAGATTGCCCAAGAGTGGTACTAAACCAGAGGTCTTCCAGAAAGCTCCCAGAGCGCTGTGGAGCGCTCTGGAACGGCCGCGGCGCCCCATCCATGAGGCAATTGGTCTTTAGATTCTGGCAGGCTTACTTGCATGGGTGGCGAGGCCCGAAATGAAATCTGGGTTTCGCGCTAGTCGGGACGCACTTTCACGCCTTTTCGGCCCCGCGCTGTTTGAAATGGCGACAGAGGGGGAGGGGGTGAGCCATGCAAGCAAACTTGCCCAAATCCAAATGAGGCACGTTCTAAATCGCCCCAGGGGCGCTGCAGAACCAGAGGTCTTCCGGAACGCTCCCAGAGCTTTCCGGAGCGCTTTGGAACGGCCTCAGCGCCCGATTCATGAGGCAATGTTGTTTTTGTTGAGTCTGGCAGGTTTATGTTCATGGAGGGTGGGTGCGCGGCGAGGTTCGAAAGGAAACCTCGGCTTCTCGCAAGGCAGGACTCACTTGCACGCCTCTTCGGCCCAGCGCTGTTTGAAATGGTGACAAGGGGGGAGTGGGGGGGAATGGCAAGTAGACTTACCAGGATATGAATGGAAACATGCTCCGAATCGCCCCAGCCCGCTCGGGAACGGCCGCGGCGCCCGCTCCATTTTCAGACACATGTTTTTTTCGTCGCAGCACGGCAGAGGCAATCCGCACGGGCGGGGACGGTCGACTCCTTAGTTCCCCGGATGCAGGAGCGGGGGCGCGGGAAGGCAGGTCGGCCGCGGAGGGAGCGGAGAGGGGGAAAAGGCGCTCACTGGTGAAAGAATTTCACGGCGAGCGCACCAGTGCGGCCAGCTGGGGCTTCGGAGCCAGGGCCTTGGACGCGGGGCGGCATCACGGCCACATCCAAGGACCTTAGCCAGGGCTGCAGGCGCCGTGAGCATGGGAGGCAAGGTGCTAGCAGCGCGTTAGTACAGAGGCCCACAGGAGCTGCCAGATGTGAGTGATGCATCCGGTTCTTCGTCACGTGGCCGAGCTGTGCCAGGCGTCGCTGCGCTGGCGGGTGCTGGATGTGGGGCCAAGACCGGGTCCCAGCGGCAGCGCGCGGTGACCGCGCGGGTCTGCGCCTAGGCTGGCGCGGGGGGGGGGAGGCTGCCACGAGCAAAATGCTGTCAACTGGTTCATCACCATGACGCTGACGTCAGGCGTAGCTGCACCAGCTGGGACAGTATACGCCAGCCCTGTCCTGGCAGCGGCGGCAGCAAGGGGGGCGCCATGGCGGCGCGGGAGAAACGGGGGAGCAGAGAGGCGGGCGCAGAAAACGGTGGAGGGGCGAAGGGTGCCCCGCCCGACGGGTGCACGCATCACAGCCGGGCAGGGCGGGCATCAGGCCCGGCCGCAGGGGCGGCGGGGCGGTGCGGCTGAGGCCTGGCTGCAGGGGCGGCAGGGCGGCGTGGCAGAGCCCAAGAGAGGGAGCCAGTGCGGGGACCCCAGCGCGCCACCCTCGGGGGGGATCACGCGTGAGGGGGCCGCACTGGAAATGGAGAGGGGGCGCCAGCGCCAAGAGGCGCAAGCGCAGGGAGGGAGTGGAGTGGGCCACCTTGGGGGCAGCCCACCGCCAGGAGCGCCTGATCAGCACAAACGCTGATGGACCAGACATGCAATGCCTTGATTTGTGTTTGATGCACAGTCCTGGAAGTCCCGACCCTTTCCCCAGGGTCGGCCTTTCATCCCAGTAGCCGCTGGATGCCGAAAGCGGTCCCAAAAATCGGTCGGGATTTGTTCCATTACGCGAGCAGATGTCTGGGTCTGAAACGGCCGCGGCGCCCGACCCATCTCCCTGGACCGACAGATCTCACGGATCCCCGATGTGCCCTGGTTCGATTTTGTCCCAGTTTTGGCTTCGTTTTACGAGGAGGAGGACGAGGAAGAGGAGGAGGAGGAGGAGGAGGAGGAGGAAGAGTCGCCCGCCAAATTGCACCCGGGGTGACACCATTTTCTGGATTCGCGACGTGAGTATGTTGTAAATTTGGGGAGGCTGGGCTCGAAAATGGGCCAGGGCATTCGGGGTGTCACCATTTTTTGGATTTCTGAAATGGTCGCCCTGGCAACGGCACACCATGTGGCGTCGCGTCGGTACATGGTGTCCCGCGGCCGCGACACCATTCTCCGACGGAGCAATGCTTGGCTGTCGCAGACGCGAGCGCCCGCTTCCACCCTTTTGCAATCGCGGTCAGGGGGCGCCGCGATCTCCTGGCACGCGGCGCGGTCGCGCGCACATGGGAAGGCGACGGCCGCAAATGCTGAGTAGGAGGTGCGCGATGCAAACGCGCCACCAGTGAAGAACGCAACTGGGGACGCCCTCGGCTTCACCAGCGGCACCGCTCACCGTTAGACGCGTGCTGGTGGGGCACTTGCATCGGCGTTTCGCTGGCAGCGCGCGCGAAGACGCGGGCGCATGCGCGGCGCGCGGCGCGCCGCGACGCCTGAGCCGACCGCGAGCGCGACCGAGCGACCGCTTTCGGGCCCCCGCCGCGTCGCGCGCGCCCAACAACGGCGCCGCGCTCTTTGGGCAACGCTCGATGTGCACAGTGTAGACCGCAAGCTTTGCGATGAACCCAGAATGCCGTGCCGTTGCCACAGTGGTCGCTTTGACGCATTTGGAAAGGCAACTGGACACGACGAAATAATCAGAAGGCCGCACGGCCTGTGCCACCGACCCGGAAGGCTTGAACTCCCTGGGAACCCCCGCTGGCGCTCCCTCGGGACCCGCCTGGACCCTGAGGGGGCGGTACCCTTACCCTGGACCACCCTCCGTCACCACAGACGGGACCTCACCCGGGACTCCCCCATCCTGGCTCCCCCCGCCCCCCCCATAATGGAGGATGACGATTAATAAATGACCGGGGGTCGTGTTCACGCGGCGGCGCCCGGGATGACGATTAGACAAAACCGGCCGCGGGCTGGAAAACTATTTCTTTAATCGTTCTCCTCCAGTCAGACAATTATGCAGAAATAGCAGAAAACTATTTTTTTAATCGTTCTCTCCCAGTTTTTAATTAATCGTCATCCCGCATTACGAGCCCCCCCTTGTTTTTCTTGTCCTCGGGAGCGGCCCGGGAGAGGAGGGAGGGCCGCCGTGCCCCTGGGGGGGTGGGTGGCACTCTGACCCGGGCCCCCCCCCCCACCCCTGGCCCTGCCACCCCGTACCCCCCCCCTGTCAGGGGGGGGGGGGGGGAAAAGGGAGGGAATCGACTGAACTACAGGCCTCAGAAAAAAATAGCGAACACTCATGCCACATTCATCTGTGAACGCCTCCCCCTCCTCCCAATGTTCAAAAGTTGGCGGTGGGTCTGATGAGTTGCACCTCGACCGCAGTCTCCCCCCCGCGTGCCAACTTTGAGTTTGGGGGGCAGGGGGGGTGTTCACTAATTGTTTCCCTCTACGTACGACGTTTCCTTTCTCTGTTCGTTTCTAGATTTCAATGGGAATGGTAGCGGCAACGGCGACGAAGACGACGACAGCATCTCGCACGCGCCGAAGGGTCGGCGGGTTCTATCACCACCAGAACGGAAACAAGGGGGGACGGTTGATGTGGCAATGTGCGCTTCAAGTTGTTGAACGATAGTGCACCTATCAAGTTCCGATGGATCCATGTTTCAGTCACCTCTGAACACAAAACTGCCGAGATTGCTGCGGACCAGCGGGCCGATACAGGAGAGGAGAAGGAGAGAGAGGTTGGCATCAGAGAGCCCATCGCAATTGTGGAGGTAGCATGGCACGCACAGGACGTGAGCATTCTGCGCAACAGGAACCTACGCAGCAACAGCACGGCATCCATTCACCTGATATCCTCCAGCAGGCCAGTGTAGACCCAGGAAGTAATGAGTATGGATAGTAACTCCAGCCAACGTTCCCGACTCCGAAGTTCCCTTATCTGGTATCATGGCACATGTCCAACCGTAGTTTAGGGCCGAGCGCTGAGCATCAAGCACCCGATCAGAGGTGCTCTTGAAACAGCACCACGTGCGCCACCGTCTGCAGGAGCCAGTCCTTAGCAGAGTTCCAGGCCGTACAATTGTAACTAAGTATCTTCAGGTTAATGGCCACACCCCGGGGACTTGGGGAACCTGCACAACTTCAAAACTGGCCGCACTCTTCTCGGAGGATGGGGAGGCAGAAGCGGTCATGCAGGAGGGAGTAACTTCGGAGCTAGATGGCGAGACAATCATTCACCCAGGCAGCAAGCTACCCCTACAATTGCCACTGGCTGTTGAGCCACCTGCGGCAATCTGGAAGAACTTATTGAAATCACCAGAGATGGGGGCAGCCAGACGCTGGCGGCTCGAGCAAAAAGTCTGAACACTGGAAATTTGGGTTGAGACCGCGCAAGTGCCGCTGCAGCACGCTGGCGAATCTCGGATGGCTCAGTGGCAGACCGGGCGGCTGGTCGGACTCTTGCTCGGGCCGAACTTGCAGTACCGCTCTCAGTACTTGTGCCCGTGCCTCCTGAACCTGAACCCGCTGACTCAGCTCCGCCCCCTCCACCAGCAACTGACTGAGGGCCATCTGCTTCTTCACCGATCCTATGCTTCTTCCTGGGCCTCTCGAGCAGGGCGGTGCGCTGCTGGCGGTGCTCCGCTGCCTTCCCAACAGCATCCGCGAAGAGTTCTGAGACGGCCTTTTTGAGGAGTTCCGAGAGCTGGGCCTTGCGCTTCTGAATTTCTTCGTCTTGAGGTGATGTCTCTTACACGGACTCGTCGACCTGGAACAGGCCAGTCGGTATCCAGGAAGTCGTCAGGGATGAAGAGGAGAAGAAGGAGGAGGGGGAGCAGGAGGAGGAGAGGGAAACAGGAGGAAGAGGAGGTGGAGGTGGAGGAGGGGAGGAGGAGGAGGAGGAGGAGGAGGAGGAGGAGGAAGAGAAGGACGAGGAGTTGCGGGAGGAAGAGGAGGAGCAGGAGAAGTGGGAGGAGGAGGAGGACGACGACGACGACGACGAGGAGGAAGAGGAGTAGAAACAGGAGGGGGAGCAGAAGGAGGAAGAGAAAAGCTGGAGTGGAGTGGAAGGGGCGCTACGCCTGCCTCAGGACGAGCGGGCCGCTGATCTCGTGGGCCGGCTCACGCTGCTGGAGAAGCAGTCGCTGCTGGACAACGACGCGGCGGCCGTGCCGCGCTTGGGGCTGCCGCCGTACCAGTGGTGGTCGGAGGGCCTGCACGGGCCCCTGGAGCTCAGGGGGGGCGAAGTGAGACAGCGGGGGGATATCCAGATCCCAATCTGAGTTCAAGCGCCTCCCTGTTTCAAGAGTCGATATGTGTGTTGCTGCTGCTTGTTATTATAATGGACTTCGGCCTATCCCGGCACCGTGCCTGGGTTGTGGGCCATGGACCTCTAGGATGTTCGTTGGGATGTCGCGGAGGGCCTCTCGGGTCTTGGAGGTCTCTTGGGACCTCCTGGGGACCTCTTGGGGCGGAAGAGTCGGCTTTTCCGTTCGTGTTCCCCCTCTTGGGCCCGTCTCGGGGCTGTCGTTGGGCCTTCTTCGGCTGTCCTGGGCGCTTCTGGGGCCGTCTTGGGGCCCTCTGGCGCCGTTTGGGGGCTTTCTTGGGGGCCTCTTGGGGGCCTCTTGGGCGGTCTCAGGGGCCTCTTGGGCCGTCATGACGCGCTGGAAATTCGAAAAGTCGAGGGCCTCCAAAACATTGAAAAACCTAAGAGGAATCAATGATGTTCGCCTCTCGGGGCCCTCTTGGGGCGGCTCTTGGAGGACTCTTGGGACGTCTTGGACGCTTTTTCGGCCACTTGGCGACCATTTCGGCAGTCTTGGACCGATCGTGCGGCGATTCGGCGCCCTCTTGGACCGTCTTGGGGCCCTCTTAGGCCGGCTGCGCTAACCTGGGGACGCACGCAACACATCTTGGGAATCCCCATGAATCATTGGGGATCCCCGGAAATCCTCGGGAATCGTCGTGGGATTGGTGGCGTGGGCCCTTTTCACCCTTGCAATTCTCTACTTCTCAGGGCTGCATGAGCCCTGGAGTATCCCACTACGTACTGAAGGCACGGTAGCAGATTCTCTGGGCGGGCTCGAACCCAATCCATGTCGTCCGCCTTCCTACATCATGTTCCTACCTGCTTCTCTTGACCGGCTGGTGGTTGGTCGTCGGGGGGCGCCCTCGTCGCCACGGCTGGGCGCAGCTTGGAAGCCTGGTGCTCCTGGGCCCTGGAAGGGGTCTGGGGACCCTTCTGGACCCTGGACCTGGAAACCTGGTGCTTCTGGACCCTGGACTTGGAAACCTGGTGCTTCTGGACCCTGGATTGAGTTGCCACTGTCTCAATTCGGCTCGAAGGTCAACAAATTCCATAAGCATGAGCTTTCGGAGCTCTGCGCGGATGTCTTGGATCGACGCTGGGCGCCCGCAGCGCCTCTGGCGCCAGAAGGGGGGGGGGGGGCTAGCGCCGATCCGAGAGGTCCGCGCGAAGATTCGAGAGTTCTTTTAGATGTTCATGCCACGTTTGTTGCTTCCTGTGAGGAGCCCTGCGTCAGCGACGGCGGCGTGACGAAGTGCCCCACCAGCTTCCCCGCGGCGAGCGCCATGGCGGCGGCCCTGAACGACTCCCTGTACCTGGCGGTCGGGAGCGCGGTGGGCGTGGAGGTCGGGCAGTGCCAAAGGGGGTCACCACCAGGGGGGTCGCCCGTTCCTCCTGAGGATCGAGGTGCGCTTGGGGCAGTCTTGGAAGGCTCTGGGGTGCTCTGGGGGCCCCATTCCTCGAGGCAGTGGCGCTGCCTCGAACAAGTGACAGCCCCCCTGGTGGTGATTCCCCTTGGCAGTGCCCTGGGAGGGGCGCGCGATCAGCAACCTGCGGACGCACGACGCCCATATCGGCGACGGCCTCACCTATTGGGCTCCGAACGCGAACATGGAGCGCGACCCCCGGTGGGGCCGCAACCAGGATGGGAGGGCGCCGGTTGCGCACCAATCGCGTAAGCATAACAATTCGGAGGTCCTCGCGGATGTCTTGGATAGGCGTTAGGCCCACTTGGCGGCACTTCTGGCGCCGCCCCTTGTGCGCTCCGCCCGCCAGGGAGGAGGGTCCAGCGCCGATCTACGAAATCTGCGCGGACCTGCGAAAGTTTATGAATATGCCGTTTCTTGCGGTTCTGGCCCAGAGAATGCAAAAGCTAAGAGGGCCCAGCCTGGGATCAGGGTCGGTGGTCGCACCGTGTGCCGGCCAGGTCGGGAGGCAGGCGCACTGATCCGCCATGAAGGAGAAGGGCCCCGAGAGAAGGGGGTCCTATAATTAGACCCTGGGTCTTTCGCTGATGGAGCACACCATGGCATGAACCAAGCCACAATGGAGGTCCGCGCAGAGTTCTGGGCTCGGCGATGGATCCCCCTCCCCAGGCGCCGCCACGGGGCTCCAGCGCCGACCGGAGAGATCCGCGCGGACCTCCGAGCGGTTTATGCTTAAGCCATGGTGTGCTCCCCCCCCGGTCCCCGGGGCCAGCTCGGCAGCCCGAGTCCTGTTCCGACGGCCCTCGGGCCCGCGGAGGCCCCCAGCGGGGCCCTCGAGGGCGGCTTGAGCAATGTCCGGAGCCCGCCTCCCTCCAGGGCCCGCCGGGTCCGCGCTGATATCCCGGGGTTTGGTGCCCACAGGTGGCTGCTCTGATCTCCCGGGGCTGCTCACGATCCGATTTCCAGACTTCGGGTCCGATCTCGACCCGACCCGAACCGCTTCCCCCTCGGCCTGCAGAGGCCCAGCCAGATCCACGATCCAAGACGACCCGTTCCCCCCCGGGAGCCGTTTCCCTCATGGCGGCACGCCAGCCGTTTTTGGCCCAGGGCCAGGCGTGGCCAGGCTTGGTGCTGGGTGCGTGGTCGACGCCTCCCCACAGGAGGCCCCCGGCGAGGATCCGCACCTGACTTCCCAGTACATAGCGCGCTACGTGCGCGGCCTTCAGGAGCCGAGTGAGGGCCAGGAAGCTCGCCCGTGCACTTCGCCCTCCTTTGTTTCTTGCGACCGGCGTTTCCTTGATTGCTTCGTTGGTTTCCTCAGGTTCTCGTCGCTTACTCGAAGAATTCTGGCCTCGGGGTGCCTTCCAGCAGCTGCGCCACACCGAGTGCGTTCTGGAGGTGCCCGAATCGTCCCCAACGACCGCCGGGGATCTTAGTTTGGGCCCGAAAACCACCCGGAGCCCAGGTATTCAATGCCATGGAAACCACAAGCGAGGGTTTGGACCGTTTTCGGCTTCCGTGGGCCTTCATCGGACCTGGGACCGTCACACAGCAGCTTGGGATGAAAAGCCAGGCTTGGCCGAAGGGTCGAGGTTCCAGTGGGGCGTATAGAAAAACAAATCAATCATTCAATCAATCACTAAAGCAATCAATCAATCAATCAATCAATCAATCAATCAATCAATCAACAACAATAGCAACAGCAACAATAATTTCAAGACTGTTCGTTCTTGTTTGCTCGTGTGCCATTCAACACGTATATCCCAAACCCTCCATACCCGCCCTCTTCGTCTTCGAGCGAACCCCCTTGGGGGTTGTCTTTCTTACCTGCAACGCGTATTTCGTGCAGCCGGGCCTGGGGGGGTAACCTATCCTCGGGCCGAATCGGGGGCAGGGGTAACCCGTTGTCTCCGGGACGCCGGCGGTAACCCATCAGCGGCCGAATCGGGCGCAGGAGGAGACCTTTGCGTCCAGGCCGGGGGTGGTAACCTATCCTCGGCCGAATTTTTACATGGTTTTCGTTTTTCAGTAACGCTTCCAAGCATTTCTTTTCTCCCTTGCGAATACGGGGCCACGAACGCGAATTTGTTTTCATGGTTTTCGGTTCGTCTTTCGGAATTTCTAGAGATTTGGGTCGAAGCTCTGCGCGGACACGCGCGTCCACGAAATCCCAACGCGTAAAGGTATGCTTTTCGGAGCGAGTTGTTTTTTACGAGATTTTTGGCCCCGGGGGATGTTTTTTGGTTCCCGGGGTAGTCTCTTCCGAAAGGAAAAAGGTAGGCCGCCGGTGGTAACCCATCGGCAGCCGAATCGGGCGCCGAGGGGGACCCTTTGTGTCAGGGCCGGGAGTGGTAACACATCCTCGGCCGAATTCTTGATGAGATGTGTGGTCCTGGGGGGGTGTTTTTTGGTCCCGTAGTCGTCGGCGTCTCTCTCGGTTTCGTTTTCCATATGCATTCGCTGACAGTCAGATATTGAAAAGGACAATGTCGTCTTCCGAAGCATGACATCACTATGATATGCACACATAGAGGATCTTCGCGTCGAGTATTGTTTTCCTCTGAACACCTGTCAAGAGAATCCAGCCGTGAAGACGAGAATGCCAGGGAAATTCGAACAATGCATGCCAAGGGGGAGGCAACGTCTCCGCGGAGCGAGGAAGTCGCGTCGCGCGAAGTAGTGGCCCCCGCCAAGCACACGCAAGCCATTGCTCGCGACACCAAACCATTCCAAGGAGCGCGTCGGATGAATTTCGAGGCGGACCCAGCCGTGGCGAAGAGGAATCCCGGGGACACCGATCGGGCACCCAAACAGACAAATCGCTTGAGACATCCCCCCCAATCTGGGCGCGAACGGGCCCGTGAGATACCCCCTGGTGGCCTCCCTTGGGCTGGCTGAAACCAGCGCCTCGCCCGCGACATCTTCGGAAACTGCTCCGAAAGAAAAGAATGTTGAGCACCCAAACAGGCAAATCGCTTGAGACATCCCCCCAAGAACGGGCCCGTGGTATACCCCCTGGCGCCCCTCTTCGGAAGTGCTGAAACCAGCGCCTCGCCTGAGACATCCTCGGGAACTGCTCCAAAAGAGAAGAATGTTGAGCACCCGAATGGGCAAATCGCTTGAGACATCCCCCCAATCTGGGCGCGAACGGGCCTGTGATGAACCCCCTGGCGCCCACCCCTTGGGAGTGCTGAAACCAGCGCCTCGCTTGAGACATCCTCACAAAGTGCGTGTGAGTCTGAGCGCGGAAGTACCAGGAGTGTGAGTGAGTCTGCATACGAGTGACCCCGAGCATGAGAAACCTGAGTAACAAGAATCGAACAGCGAGCGCATCTGAGTATGAGTCTGTTTGAAAATGAGTGACTTTACATGTGAGTGAGTCAGTGAATGATGACCTGAGGGCGGGAGGTGTCCTCTCGTTCTCCGCGCGGTCAACGTAATAACAAGAACCCCATCCTTAGGTTATGGGGAGCAAAACTGGGCGCTGGCGGTAAACCGTCAACCAAAGTTACCACCGGGGGACACGTAGAGCTTTTATCTGATTACAGACGCCTCTACAGAACATTGCTCAATCTGGCTCGCGAAGCTGTAGGCTGGTGCTTCCAATTCTGAACCTGCTGCTGCGATCGAAAGTTATGTAGTTGCTCAAATCTCCAAGTTCAGCAGCGGGACCGCGCGATGCACCTGAACGGTGGAGAGCCAGATCGATCTTCCCAGCATAGCTTCCAAAGGGAACCAAACCGCGCGTCTGGAAGTTGAAGAGAATAGTTACTAGCTCTTCCCGAGAGTAGAAACAAGCAGAGGTCTGAACTTAGCCCAATCCTCGAGATTTAGGCTCAAAGCTGTTCGGCGTAGGAAAACCGTTACAGACTGACATCGATTTCTTGATCATAGTTGGAGTAGCGGACCGAGTTTCGATTTTTGGTGGGAGAGAGAAGTTGTTGGTCTTAGCAGCATGCACGCACAGCCAGAGCTCCCAATTCACACTTACGCTGTCGATTTCCTTCCACGATCAAAATATCTCGATCTATAAACCGCTTGCAGCATGATATTAGTTTTTTTGTTCGGCAATTGCTGAGGGGACCGATCGCAGGCCTCGCGATGTTATTGCACAGTGTTTCCAGAATCCGCTCGTGTGATTAAGAGGTATGTAGCTATTCTAAATCTCGGGCTCTTTTACACGGACCGATTTCGATATAGCACAAGCGGTTACAGACTGAGATAGCTTGTCGGTCATAGCTCGAGTAGAAGACCGATTTCAGACTTCTCGAGGCTATAGAATAATGCTCCCAGGGTTGCCGGATCCATGGGTTTAATCGAGAGGTCCGTAGTTGCTCTGAATCTCCAGATTCTCTTAGTCGACGATTTCGATATAGCAAAAACGGTGTAGAATGAGATTAGTTGTTCGGCCATAGCCCGAGTAGAAAAAAACGATATCAGGCCTCTCGAGGTTCAGACCCAATGCTTCCGAGGCAGCCGAATCGATGGGTATGATCGAGAGCTCTGCAGCTGCTCTAAATCTCGGGATCTATTGCGTAAACCAAACGCACGCACACAAAATAGTTTTAGGGCGAGTTCCCGCCACATTAGATTCGCCCTTTCTGAATGCTCCGATAGAGGCGAGATCCAGATGGCGGACAGGAATACGGTCGAACTTCTCCAGAGAAAATGCCCCAACCAACATGAATGGTCAAACATATTCCAACGTATTCGTCAAACCGGCAAACGTCATTAGTTTGTCCGTCGAGATTACTCGAGCCTTTTAGCCAAGAAATGATCCCGTATTACTGTTACGTCCGCTGCTTCGCTATCTGGGAAGCTCTACGAGTCGTTTGGATGCGTGAGTCTTCTTAGCTACACGTTGAGTGGCCCTTCGCCGCAGTGACGTCTGGTGCGGTTTTCGGAGTGCGCGGGGGGGGGGCCAAGCCTATGCATGCAGGCCGCTACACCTCCGCTCTCCATTCCTTCACCGCCCTCCTCGTTTCGGCCGTGCGCACAAGGAAGTGGCGCGAGGGGGCGGCCTTGTGAGAAGGCGGGGGGCTTCTCAGAAGGCGGGGGCCTGAGAAGGGCCGAGAAGTTTCTAAGACGTCTTCATAGAAGCCGAAAGTTTTCTAAGAAGCCCCTTGCCTTCTCAGAGGCCCCCTTGCATTCTTAGAAGGCCGCCCCCTCTCACGCCGCCCCGCCGCCAACGTTTTCCTCAACCTCCTCCCGAACTGCAGAGCCGCCTCCCCAAAGGTTCTGGAAGTTTCCGGAGGCCTCCTGAGGCCTCCACAGAGGTGCCCAGAGGCGTCCGGAGGCACCGAAAAGCCCCCAGGAGCCCAAACAGGACCAGAAACTATGAAAAAGTCGTATCGTCGAACCTCGATTTTCGACCTTCCCTTCTTCCTCTTCCTCTTCCCAAGCAACAGAATCCGTTCAAAACCAATCCTTGGATCCCTCCCAGGGATCCATATTGGCCAGTCTTGCATCCCAGACCAAAGTCTGACATTCCTGGGCATGAGCCAGGCCGCTACAGGCCGAAGCCAAACAAACATTCACTACAGTCAAACCTCGAGGTCTTCACCCCCTCCACTTTCCACTCTTGTTCCCCTCCTCGACCTGGGGGAACCCAGGGGGGAGGGCAACACCGATAAAGACGACGCCAACGACGACCACGCGACGGCGGCGACGGCGACGACGACGACGATAGGCTGAGAGCCCTCCGCTCCGCTAGGAGGGCGAGGACCCAGACCACGTGCAGATGGTGGCGACGTGCAAGCACTTCCTGGCGAACGAGCTCGAGCACTCGATGATCAACGGCTCCGTGATCACGAGGCACAACTTCGACGCGGAGATCCCGCTGCCCGAGCTTGTCGACTACTACCTCCCAGCCTTTAAGGCCTGCGTACAGGAGCTGGAGGCCCAAAATCCCAGGCACTCAACGCATTGGAAAAATCAAGACCGAGTTTTTCATTGTTCTCGGTTTCTCGGGGTCCCCGCCAGGTCCCAGGACCGTCAACCAAAACGACTAGCAGTGAAAAGCCGGTCATGGCACAGGGTCGGCCGAGGCGAGGCGAGGCGAGCGCCGCTCCGCGCGCGCGGGGGTCGCCTCCTAAGGAGGACGGCAGTGGGGCCGGAGCCCATCAGAGAGAATCCGTCCATCTCCGTCTGGACCCATGTGGTCTCCTCCGGGCCTGGATCCCAGAAGCGAGCTTTGTAACTCCAGTTGTCTCTCCTTCTCTTTTGCTTATGAACCCAACTGCCATAGCCCATGCTTGCAAAAGATTGCTCCGCCATGTGAGTTGTGCGTCGCACCCGCTCCACACAAGACTCAATACAATAAGCGACGCTGTTGCCTGTGTCGGTGCGTCGCTTCCGCGGCAAACAGAAAATCATACGTAGCATGTGTCGTTGGGTTGATCGTACTTGCTGTTGCAGACTGGCGGTCGTCGTCCATGACACACATCCGTATAGTCTTGGTGGGGTAACCGTAATGTTAAAACATCGATATTTGTCGCGGAGCGTGTACGCTCGAGAGATCAACTCGTTTTTGAATAATCAAAACTTGTTCCACGCAGCTTGGATGCGAGCGTCAATTTCTAATTTCACTGGGTTGCAAAAAGTCAGATGTCGTCCCAGAAAATTCTGCGTGCTGCTATATGCCAAATTTCGATATCGACGTCTCCCACCTTTGTGTATTCGGGCTCCTTCTTCGGACGTCGCGCCTCCACATGGTGAATCAGATTCGTATTATGCAGATGTAGTTCTAGACCTGTGCGATTGGCAGCCTCCATGATGTCTTACAACATCTGGCGGACTAGTGTCAACGAACTCCCGAGGCGTAGGACGTCGTAAGCAAATCTAAAACTCGTCAGACGCATCTTGTTGAATCTACAGAGTAATAACCCATGTTTCATGTTCGTTAATTTGGCCCAGCACACTTCAAGTACTTCTTCCGACAAGCAGTTGAAAAATCATGAGTTGAGCGGGTCTCCCTGTTTCGTCCCGCGCCCAATGGTGAATATTATGTTCTCCACGTCTGTTTTTACAACAGCAATCTGGCCTGTATACATATCTGAGATGAGATGAATGAGCCCTTTGGATGCAACTTGCGATGACATGGCTGCCCACAGTGACTTGTGAGATACGGTATCGAACGCCTTCTTGAAATCCAGCGTGGCTGCCCGTAGTGAAATGTGCCATTCTTATGCTCTCCCTTGTACGATCGTCAATGCAAACAGATGGTCGTCTGTCCTGTAGCCTTCCTAGAAGCCGGCCTGCCCTGGAGGTTGGTGCTTATCCAAATTGGGTTCCAATATGTTGTATAGCAGGCGCGATAAATAAGTTTGCACATCCAAGGTGCGACGGACATCGGGCGGTAGTTCTGGGGCAGGCTCGGGTACCCCGGATTTGAATAATATATTCAGTTGCGTCTATCTCCATTCCGAAGGCGTGCACGCTCCCAATTTGATGACATCATTATAGAAGCTAAACAGCGTGTTCCAGAAGGCGCGGCCGTTGTGTTTGAGCCTCTCCGCGACTATGCCTGCAGTGTCTGCTGCTTTGCCGTTCTTGAGTTGTCTCGTCCTGGCTTCCAGCTCCGCCATGGCAAAGGATCGGGATTTCTGGGGGTCCCGTACTGGAAAAACAAGACAGCGTATGTTTGGGAACATTGCGATGACCACATCGTCTGGTGAGTGGGATTCGGGGTGACCGCACGGTTTTGGGATTTGGATCGTTCTCAGAGGATGCCTCGGGCGATTGGGGCCTCCGTGGTCCACAAACAGTGCGGCGACGGACGGTACGGTGAGGTATTTGAGGATCCGACGTCACCGCGAGGTACGTCAGCTTACCGTTCTGGGACCCCAATAGGAGGGGCGCGCTCTGGGCATGATGTGCAGCTACAACGCGGTGAACGGGATCCCCATGTGCGCCAACCGGGAGATGCTCACGGACGTGCTGAGGCTGGCGGGCTAAGACAGAGAGGGGGCTTCTTCGCGAGGTTGGCCGATTGAGAGCACCAGGGGGTGGAGGGCAGCGGCCCAGGTGCATCCGAAGTTTGCCCTCTACCTTGGTCGTGGCGCAGAGGCAACAGGCAACGGCCCCGTTTTGTCGGCCCCCGCTGTCCGCCGACGTGTTGGCCAGGAGGGGGTCCCCTGGACGCGTGTCAGCCTAACGTGAGCCGTCGGCTTCTGGCGTCTCAGGACACAGGCGCTCTCTTTTGGGGAAGCCCTGCGTACCCCGCTGAGATGTTTCGGGATTGTGCCACGAACAGGTTTAGGGGGGTTTAACAAGCAGGGGGCATAGTTCGACTTCCAAGGCGCTTGTAAACATGCAGGAAGCCTAGGGGCCGATTCCCCTCGACGAACTGCGTCTAAGGCCCCCATAGTGTGACCCCTCGCCAGCCTCTGATCAGCCGCCCCCCGGTCTTCCAGTCGGCCAGCGAGGGACCAGTGGGGATTCGACGGATATGTGACGTCCTTAGTTGGCCTTCTGCTTTAGCCATATCCCGATTTGTTTAAGCCAGTTCCGCGCGGCAGTACTGAGATGCTGGTCTCGCGATTGTGTTACATTAGCTTCGGGCGCACGCACAATAACAAATAGTGGTCTGATGTGTTCTGGTCGTCTGCCAGAGTATGCGTGTTCACAATTGGTCGTATCCCAGTTCCGCATGCAGATTGAATGGCAGTGTTTCCGTTCCTTCGAACCAGCGCGCCAGCAACACAATCCATATATATATATATATATACATATATATATAGATATATACATCTATATATATATATATATATATATATGTATACACAAACATGCGTGCACACGCGTATGCGCCTACATATTCATATGCATATACATACATGCATGCATGCATTCATACACACATACATGCCTACATACAGACATACAGTCAAACACCCATTAGACGAAACATACATAAAAGCAGACATAAATACATACATATATAAATACATACATACATACATACATACATACATACATACATACATACATACATACATACATATATACGCACGTACGGACATACATACATACATACATACATACATACATACATATCTACATCTCAGAGCGAGGGGGCCGAACGGTCATTCATTGTCCCCGGATGCGTGGCTGAAGTGAGAATCCCTGGTACGGATGATGCTTGTTGCGTTGTTGTTGTTGTTGTTGTTGTTGCTGTTGTTGTTGCTGTTGTTGTTGTTGCTGCTGCTGTTGTTGTTGTTGGTGTTGTTGTTGTTGTTGTTGTTGCTGTTGTTGCTGTTGTTTGTTGTCGTCGTCCCCCCCGCGACACCCGCGACCGATCCACGTTGGTTTGAAGAGAAATCGGCGCCTGCGGCGGGCTCGTTGTATAATTTGTGAAACTTTGGCGCCTGCGGCAGGCTTCTCCAGAGTCTCGCAGACTGCCGACGTCCCCACCGCCCCCCCGCTCTTATCCGCATCTGCGGGGTGCTACGCATATATATCTATCTCTCTCTCTCTCTCTCTCTCTCTCTCTCTCTCTCTCTCTATATATATATATATATATATACATATATCCGTGAGGGCTTCGCCCCCTGCCGCCGGCCCCCTCTCTCGGAGAATGGGCCATGGAAGAGCAAGAGGGGTTACCACACCTGGCGATTGGTAAGACGTGTATGGTTTACGGGCTTGGTTACCACACCTTGCGATTAAAGGGCCGAGGGAGTTCTCGCAGTTTGGGGTACCACGCCTTGCGATGGATGTGCGTGAAGGGTGGCACCGAATTTCAGAAATGTGCCAAATCCCCTGTGTTTTTGGACCCTGACCTCGCGGATCTGCGTAAGGGGTGGCGCCGAATTTCAGAAATGTGGCAAATCCCCTGTGTTTTTGGACCCTGACCCCGCGGATCTGCGTGAGGGGTGGCACCGAATTTCAGAAATGTGGCAAATCCCATGTGTTTTTGGACCCTGACCCCGCGGATCTGCGTGAGGGGTGGCACCGAATTTCAGAAATGTGGCAAATCCCTGTGTTTTTGGACCCTGACCCCGCGGATCTGCGTGAGGGGTGGCACCGAATTTCAGAAATGTGGCAAATCCCGTGTGTTTTTGGACCCTGACCCCGCGGATCTGCGTGAGGGGTGTCGATTTCGAGCCCTCCCAGCAATTCAGACAACGCGCCCGGGAGACGCTAAAAATCTGGTTTGGGCCTCCCCCCCCCCTCGCGCGGTCAATCAACTAGTTACAGTAACCAGCAAGAAGCAGAACTGCAACACTGGAAACTACAAGCTGCAACTGGTACTGGAAACTGCGAACCCGCGCCTCGCAGCCTGGTGGCCCCACAAGGGGGCCGGCGGATATATATATATATATATATATATATATATATATACACACACACATATGCAACAGCGTGCTCTGTGGGCGCTTGGAGAGGAGGAGGGTTCCGGAACCGGCTAGCCCCCCCCCTCCTTGGTTCAAGGACGGGGTCGAACCGAACATGGGACTGATTCCAACAATTTTGGTCCCATTCCCAACCAACAGGGACCAACTACAGCAATGTTTGAGCTTTTAAAGTTTGTGTGTTGGGAGGTTTCGTCGGGGTTCCTTCTGAAGGCTCCTCGGAGGCTCCTTAGAGGCTCCTTAGAGGTTTCCTAAGAGGCTCCGTAGAGGCTCCTTAGAAGCTTCTTCGAGGCTCCCTAGAGGTCCTTAAGAGGCTCCGTAGAGGTTTCCTTAGAGGATCCATAGAGGCTTCTTAGAGCTCCTTCGAGGCTCCTTCGAGGCTCCCTTGGAGGCCACCGAAACGGACCCCAAGAGGCCTCAGAACTGCTTTCAGGAGGCCTTCGAGAGACCCACCACGAGATCCAAACGAATCGTTCAGATGCTTCCACACGGAGCCCCAGACGCCTCCAGGACAGTTTCAAGATCCTTCAAGAGCCCCCAAAGACGGCCCCAGAACGACCCCAGATGGCCTACAGAAGGCCTTTCAGGCAGCCAAGATGGTCCAAGATGGCCCCAAGATGGGCCCAAGAGTCCCCAAGACGCTTCCACTGCAAGTCTAAGCAGCTCCCAGAGGTCCAAAGAACGCCCTAGGAGGCTTCTCAAAGGGCCCAAAGAGCTGACATGTCTTTAAATATTTGTTGAATACAGTGCACGTTTCAAGAACTCGCCTGTTCATTGCAGATGGACCTTGGAGGTCGGTGGATGGCCACCGGCGACGACGACGACGACGACGACGACGACGACGACGACGGCGGCGGCGGCGGCGACGACGGCGACGACGACGACGACGGGGAAGACGACGAGGACGAGGAGGAATCGGAGGAACAGGAGCAAGAGGAGGAGGAGGGAGAAGGGGAGGGGGAGGAGGGAGGAGGAGGAACAGGCCGATGAGGAAGAGGAGGAGGAGGAGGAGAAGGAGGAGGAGAAGGAGGGCGAGCAGGAAGGCCAGAGACTATTGAATGCCTATCGGAGTCTCATCGGATTTCTCTCGAGAGCTTCTCTGGGTCCTCTTGGGGCGCCTCAGGGGTCTCTTAACAGTCCCAGCGGCCTCTTGAAACGTACTGGTTGCCTCTGGAGGTTTCTTAGAGCCTCTTGGGGATCTCTTGGGAGCCTCTCGGGGGCATCTTGGGGGCATCGTGGGGGCCTCTTGGGGCATCTCTTGGGGCCGTCTTGGGGCGCCCTTGGGAGCTCTGGGGGCCATCTCAAAAGAGATCGTTCGAAGGAGGGGGGTCCTTACTCAGAGCCCCCCCAGGAGGTCCAACTGCGGCCCAACCCTTAGTAAAATCAACGATTTGGCCTTCTCTCCGAGGCCTCTTGGGGCGTCTTGGGTGCCTCTTGGGGGCCTCTTGGAGCCTCTTGGGGGTCCCCTGGGGGCCTCTTCGGGGCATCTTCAGGGCCCGTCGGGGGCCTCTTGGGCACCTCTTGGGGCCACCTTGCTCGGGGGCCACCTTGGAGGAGGAGATCGATTAGAGGAGGGGCCGTAGTACATTAGGGTCCCTCCCAGGACGCCCAAATGCGGCCAAAACCTGTTGTAAAATTCATGATTTGGGCCTTCTCACCGAGGCCTCTTTGGACGTCGTGGGTGCCTCTGGGGGGCATCCTGAGCCTCTTGGGGGTATCCTGGGAGCCTCTTGGGGGCGTGGCGAACCGTCACTGATCGGCCTGATCGCATTGTCCCCCAAAAAATTGTCTGGGGATTCTACGGGAACTCACTGCATTCAGAAGCCTTCTTGGGAGCCTTCCCTTAATCAAAGCAACACTACGGCTGACCCAAAGCATCGCAACCGCTTCGGCCAGGTCGCAACCGTTTGTGATCAGTCCGAAGTGGTCGAGAGTCGGCCTGAAGTGGTTGCGATCCGCACATGTCGTGGAAGGGAGGAGGGATGGGACAAGCGGGAGAGACAGAGATGGAACACGGCAGCGATTAGCTGGAGAGGATTAGGAGCAGAAAAGCAAGCGGCAGAACCAGACGGGCGGGGCGGGCGGGGCGGGGCGGGCGGGCGGGCCCAGACGACAGGGTCGAGGGGGGGAGTCGCTGAAGCGTCAGTCGCGCATGGATCGCGAGGAACTCTCGAGCGATAGCGCGATTCTCAATTAACCGCGACTTGCAAGTATCGACCCCCTCCATGTCGGCCAAACTATATCACTTCCCACCTCTGGAAGTGATGTCCCGCCCCAAGAACCTGCAGTGCGGGATCCCACCAAATTCATTATATGATCCCAATCAGACCGAATCGGATTCCACCAGTCAGATGCTTCCAGGATTCTTGAAGTTTCCGAGGGTTTCCTGAAGAGACCTGAGGATCCCAAAATGTCCCTGAGGATTCATGAAAATTCCTCCAGAATGTTCCCTGAAGAACTGCTGCGGCCCAATCCCCGTCCCTGAGTGCACAGGCCTCAGCTTCTGATGCACGCACGGGTCCGGACTCAGATTCAGATTCGGATCTGTATAGGGAAATTCTAAATCCGTGGCCCCAATCTCCGCACTTGAAGGCACAGGTCCAAGTTGATGATCTGATGTGGACCCGAATCGGCGATCCCGATATCCGCCGCTGAGTGCACATGTCTCAGCTTTCTCTTCTGATGTACGCATGGGTCTGGACCCGGCTCCAGATCCGGAATCTGATCAGGATTGGGATTTGCATACGCGTAATCCCAATTACTGCCCTTGAGCGCGCGGGCCTCAGTTTATTCTTCTGATGTGCGCACGGATCCGGACCCGGATCTGGATCCAGATTGGGATAATCCACATCCGCGACTCCAAGCCCAGCCCTTGAGTACACAGGTCTACGGTTATTCTTCTGATGTGCGCACACTCCTGGACTTGGCTCCAGATCCAGATCGGGATGATCGGAATTCGTGATTCCATCCCGGCCTCTGAGCGCGCAGGCTTAAGTTCGTTCCTCTTCTGTACGCACGGATCTGGACCTGGATCCGGATCGGGATTGGGATAATCCGAATTCGTCACCCCCATCCCCGCCCCTGAGAGCGCAGGCC